AGTACAATTTATCTTGGCCCCCCAAATCATCGTTCCTTGCCTTCCCACCCCAGGCTGCTCTAACTTCTTGTCGGTAGCAGATAAAGCCAGATCTAATATCTTGCCATCAGATTAAAAAAAAGCTTTTCAAATGTATTAATTTAAAACAACTATAGTTCTGCAAGTCGCAGGGCTAAGTACGTTCTCTTCCTGGCACACATTTCTTTATCCAACTGTCAGCTGGTTGTGATGGTCCTGTCCCCAGTGCAGCTCTCAAATCCCTGAATTTCTCTGCATTCCTTTGTCATTGTGGAGGGCAGTTTTGGTTCGCACTCTCCCCTTTGAAGATTTGGTGACTTTAGTCTATAACAAAAACTGTTTTATAGACTCATAATTATAGTTGGTCCTAGTTGCCAGTTTGACTGGGTTAATGGGAGGGTGATTCCTCAAAGGTCCTGTCTTGTTCTGCCCAGTTCGAGAACCCCAAAAGACCAGGAATAAACAGACTCCGCTGTAAATACATGAGGTTCTTTTTATTATAAATCATTACAAGCTACAGCTTGGGCCCACACCCCAACATGCCGAAGTGGTGAGAGCCGAGCGCCGGGCGCCCCGTGCTCAAGTTAGTTGGATGATTTAAAGACTCTGGTCTCTCTTAGCATGCCCAAGGCAGGGGCCATTCCTGCCTGGCAAGCATCTATTGGTCAAAATGCTACATTTTGAATTGGCTATAGGAAGGTCCCCAGACCATTAATGAGCTGGTGTCCCTCCCTAGGGGAATGGGCCAGTATCCTAGCAACTATCTCTAGTGGGTGGGAAAAGAATGCAGTAAGGCAGTTCTTCCCCTCAGGGCATTCCTGGACTTCTCCACCCAGCTAGTTCAGGCCTTAAATATTAATAGCTGCTGATTTTTAATCTTTTGTTCTCTCAGTCTTACAGGTGGGACTGTGACTATATGGTGGAGGGAGACTTAATATGAATATTGGCAGCACCTTCCACTGGACTGGTGACCTGGATGAAAACAAATTAAGAAAGGGAGCAGAGTGAGCAAGCCCCTTCCTTTTTTGAGTGTCTAAATGTGGCTGCATCACCTGCTGACCTTAGACCCCAGCATCTTAAGCCTTCAAACATGGGCTCTTTTTGTGTCCAGGCCTTCAGGAAAGTCTCATCATTATCACCAAAGACCAGAAGAAAACTGTAAATCACCAATTTCTTTAAAGATATAAAATAATATAGTGTAAGCCAGGCATGGTAGTATAGGTCTGTAATCCAGCTATTTGAGAGTCTGAAGCAGGAGGAGCATATTGTTTAAGATCTGCTTGACCTACAGAGTAAATTTAAGGTTAACCTGGGCAACTTAGTGGGACCATTTCCCAAAATTGAAATAAAAAAAATGGGAGAGATAAGAATGAAACTCTCCATCTTACCCACTCTTCTCCCTTGGCTGACTCTTTGCTATTCTTGGCATGATATTCCTTAAACGATATTTCTTGCTTTAAAAGATCCTGCTGATAGTCTGCAGGGCAGAGCCTTTCAGAGGCCCTCTGTGGCAGGTTCCTAACTTGTTTCCTGTTTTCTTCTTCTTCTGATGTCCATCCTCTTTGCCTTTCGGGATGGGGATTGAGCATTTTAGTCAGGGTCCTCCCTCTTTATTAGTTTCTTTAGGTGTACAGATTTTTAGTAGGTTTATCCTATGTTATATGTCTATATGAGTGAGTATATACCGAGTGTGTCTTTCTGCTTCTGGGACAGCTCACTCAGGATGATCTTTTCCAGTTCCCACCATTTACCTGCAAATTTCATGATTTCTTTATTTTTCATTGCTGAATAATATTCCATTGTGTAGATGTACCACAATTTCTGTATCCATTCTTCAGTTGAGGGGCACCTGGGTTGTTTCCAGCTTCTGGCTATTACAAATAAAGCTGCTACAAACATGGTTGAGCAAATGTCCTTATTGTGTACTTTAGCCTCTTTTGGATATATGCCTATATTATGAGACTTATGGCCAACTGTTGGGCAGAGTGCATGGAATCTTATGAAAGTGGGAAATAATAAGATCTGGAGAGGACAGGCACTCCACAAGGAGAGTAACAGAACCAGAAAATTTGAACACAGGGGTCTTTCCAGAGACTCATACTCCAACCAAGTACCATGCATGGAGATAACCTAGAACCCCTGCACAGATGTAGCCCATGGCAGTTCAGTGTCCAAGGGTTCCATAGTAATGGGAAGAGGGACTGCCTCTGACATAATCTGATTGGCCTGCTCTTTGATCACCTCCCCCTGAGAGGGGAGCAGCCTTACCAGGCCACACAAGATGACAATGCAGCCACTCCTGATGAAATTTGATAAACTAAGATCAGAAGGAAGGAGAGGGGGACCTCCCCTATCAGTGAACTTGGGGAGGGGGATGCGTGAAGAAGGAAGAGGGAAGGTGGGATTAGGAGGGGAGGAGGGAAGGGCTTATGGGAGGATACAAAGTGAATAAAGTGTAACTAATAAAAGTTAAAAGAAATATATAATACAGGGCAATGCCCCCCCCCAAAAAAAAGATCCTGCTGAATAAATTCAAAACAAAGCATCATTCGCCATTAGAAGTAGTGTTACTAAGGAGAAGAAAGTACAATGACTGATTTCAATGTGAATGAACAGAAAAGCTATAGGAACAGATGTATAGATGTTTGGAGCTGTGGGATAGAAAGCTACATGATGGCTTTTATTCCTTCTCCCAACAGAGCAAGAGTCTGCCTAGAGTGAGTAGATTGATGTGGTAACAACAGAGACAGTGATCTGAATGTGTACCAAACGGAATAAAGCAGTTACCATAGTAAATCTGGAATTAATGTGAGATGTCCCAAGAGATATTGAAGACCTTGACCCTACCTTTGATGAACGGAGCTGTGAGATCTTTCTCCAGCATCATTCAGCAGTGTAAACAAGACTTAAGGTTTACAAAATAGGTATGAAGCCATTTAAAAAGGGATTAAAAACTTGGAAACAGTATGAAAGTCACTGAGGTGATTAAAAAGTCTTAGGTTGGGCAGAGAAAAGAGTTGTAGGAATTTTAATACCCATCACCCTTTTAAGTTATCCAAGTCTGTATCATCTTGAACAATGAAAAGCCAATGATATTGAATGACGCATCGTAGCGGACCTCTGTATCCCAGCACCTAAACCTGGCTCTTAAGAGGCAGAGTTAGGCAGGAAGTTGGCAGTTCAGGGCAAGCCTTGGCTGCTTAGGAAGTGGAAGACTGCCCTAGTAAAGGACCGTCTCAAAAGAAAAGATGAATAAACGAAGGGAAAGAAAGTGAAGACTATCTTGTGGAAAGGCTTTCTTGGCGGTGGTAAAGTAAAGCCGCCTTAGTTGCTGCCAACAATCCTACACGCCAACAGCTTCCCCGGGGAACTCTGATCCAAGATCCAGGAGTTCTGATTAGGAGCAGGTTACACTCATTACATCGCTTTTCCCTCGGGGCTTCAGTGAACATTGCAGGAATGTAGTTAATGAGGTGCGGCACCAACAGGCACCCCTCCCCCATCTGATCATCTCCCAGAGCACCCCAGCTAGCCACCTTCAAAACAACCAGCTTTCTCCAATACCCCCTGCAGAGTGTGTTCAGAGGCAACGTTAGAGGTGGTTTGGTTTTTTTTTTTTTAGCAGTTTATCTCAATCAACACATTTTTTATTGATAAGATAAAGACACTTTAGATACAGCTTTACAGTAACATAACAGACAGGCAAAAGGACAAACCAGAACATGGTTCTCAGTGGAGTCACCGCAGGATACTGGAGAGCAGATGACAACAGGAAGAATAACAAGTGATACACACAGCCCTTTACAAATCGTGCCTTGTGTATTTGTGTTCGCTGATGTGCACATGTCTAATTTACAGATGAGAAAATCCTTCCAAGATTTGAGTAACTTCTCTAAGCAGTTTTTTTTTTTTTTTCCCAGAGTACATCTCACTTCCTTGATTGCAATGACAGCAGTTTGGAAGGTAGTACTTGAACAAGCAGCTTGGCACTGACTCCAAAGCGCGTTACCATCAAGAGACCCAGGCACTGAGAATTGGAAAGGTGCAGAAATGAGCTCTATGGAGCGAATGCATTTTCAATTATAATTCCACTAGGTGGCAGCAAGGGCTACCGACAGAGCCCAGAGGAGGCACTCTAGACTTTACATGGGGAAGGCTTTACTACCTGAAAACAGGAAGGAAAGAGCAAAGCAATACTTTCTTTTAGAGTTTGAAAAGAGGGCTCTTGAGTGCATGCGTATGCGTGTCTGTGTTTCTAGGACAAAGCACTGAAAAGTTGCTGGGACCATTACTGCACTCTATCCAATGTTTCACACCTGTGGGTGGGACCAAAGGGCTAGAAAGGTCTTGATATGTGGCAATACTGCATTACAGTCTCTCTGCTCATATGAGCACACCCAGCCCTGCAATCTGCAAGTCCAGGTGGGGATTATGCGGAGGACAAGCTGGCCATCATTGTTCAGCACAAAGGTGGTTGTTTCCTAAAAGAAAAGGTGCGTGTGCTTGGGGCACTGATGTCAGTGGCTGTGCTTGTGATGTGTTTCCCTTCAAGGTTATCACAGTCAAGCAGAGGGAAGAGCAGTTTGCTGGAACGTAGGGCTAAAGGAAACTTACATGCATGCCATGGCTGAAGGAATTTAAGGCACCTAAATGTTCCCCTGCTTTGGTAGTAATCAATACAGCTAGAGGTGAGATGCAAACTTTGAACTGTGAATAAGGAGTTAAAATTCAATTAGAAGATTGTGCATCAGAAAAAGCATATTGTTGTGAATGAAGAGTGAGAACCCATCTTGTTGACAGAGCAATGTCTAGATGGCATGCTGAACCTTTTTGTGTGGTACAAAAAAACAAACAAACAAAAAAAAACATTTAATGTATCTGGGCATCTTTCCAGACTCTGAGGATGCCTTGGATATTAGGAATCACATCAGCACCCCCATCAGTGTGATGCCTTGGATATTAGGAATACCATCAGCACCCCCTCAGTGTGATGGGGGTTCTATCTGAGGAGACTCCTTCCCTGTAGGAGGGAGCTGCTTTTCCTCTGGGACTGAGGGTAAGTCAGGAGCTTTCTGCCCACACCTTGCCACTGTGAAGCGGCTCATGCTGAGGGCTTCCTCGTAGCCCGGTAGCGTGTCCACAGAGGAGGGCATCTGGCCCAGGGAGCTGTGTGTGTGAGCCACTGCCAGGATTCTCCGAGCTGCAGGGCCGAACACGGACTGCAGAGCTGTGAAGGAAGACAGGATTGGTGTAGAGATGCTGACAACCAAAGTTGATGTCCTCAGACAAGAGAGACATGTCCAAAGACATCTCTTCGCTCTTACCCATGTGCAAACTCATTGCTATGACCTTTGACAAAGTTTACAAAAATCCTTCATATGACTAACTTTACACACTGCCAGAAGAACCAGCCTTTCTAGCTGTTTAAATAAACTGACTTGTGTTTCTATAGCTCATCCCTCTTTTCAGGTTTTTCTATTTTGCTGTGCTAAATGTGCTGAATCAAGCCCATGCTTCACACAAGCTAGTCAAGCACTATCCTATTGAGTTCCACCCCAGGTTTCCCTTTCAGATTCCTCTGTACTAGCTGCCCACTACTTACAAACACCTTTCAAATACTTACTTATGTCTTATTTGTCATTTGTCAGTCACAGATGTTGCTCTTCTTTACTATAAATGCCATTGTGTCTTATCACATGTCATTCTACCTTGATTTTGCTCCTCAATTATAGAAAAGAATAATTTCATAAAGAACGGAGGAAGACTTTCCCCTAGCTGGGCTGCTTTGCCTGGCCTCAATGGGAAAGGATGCGCTTCGCCCTGCTGAGACTTGATGTTCCAGGGTGGATTGCTACCCAGGGAGAGCTTCCCCTTCTCTATGGAGAGAGGAGGTGTTGGGGGTGAGTCTTGGAGGAGAGGAGGGAGGGGGCTGTGATATCACAGCCTGTAAAGTGATTACATAAATAAATCTATGGAAAAAGAAAAAAGAACAGATGGAGAGCTGGGCATGGTGGAACATGCTCACAATCTCAGCGCTCAGGTGATAGAGCCAGGTGATTCTCTGAGTTCAAAGCCAGCCTGGCCTACATGGCCTATATGAGAATAGCCAGGACTATATAGTGACCCTGACTCAAAAAAATAGATTAGATAGATAGATAGATAGATAGATAGATAGATAGATAGATAAAATAAATATTTAAATAGAACGGAACAGAGGAAGGTAAAGGAAAATTTCTTACTGTAATCATCTAAAAAAATATTGGGGCTATAATTTAGCATACCAAGGTTTGAGGAATACCAGACTAAAAGTGCAATCCACCAATTCCCTGAAACATACAAAATAATATAGTGTAAGCCAGGTCTGATAGTGCAGGTTTGTAGTCCCTGCTGTTTGAGAGGCCAAAGCAGGAGGGTTATCTGCTTAAGGCCTGCCTGACCTACAGAGTAAATTCAAGGCTAATTTGCCAAACCTGCTACCTTGGCAAAACCACTTCTTGAAATAAAAACAATTAAGAGCCTAGGAGTTCTCAGCAGTACCATACTTGTCCAGCCTGTATGTGATCCTGGATTCCAGACCCAGCATCACCAAAAAAAGAAAAGAAAGAAAGAAAGGAAAGGAAAGAAAAAACAAAAAAGAATGGAACTAGGTGGGGTGGTGTTTTTAACTCCAGCACTCCTGATGGGAAAGGGGGAAGCAGGAAGATCAGGAGCCAGCATGGGCTACATGAGACCCTGCTTTGAAAGAAAGAATCAAGAGCGGGAGAAAGAGAAGGAAGAAGAAAAGAACAAAGGAAAGAAGGAAGGGAGGAACTAAGGAAGGAAGGGAAGGAGGAAGTCATGTAAACTTTGACTCCAGTATTTTACTGTGTTCAACATTATATTATCAGCCCAAAACATGAGAATACAGGCTTCAGTGATAGCCCAGGACACCGCAAGAACAGGTTTCTGGAAATTAAAACTATACTGAGTTTCCAAAGACACAATGTAGGTTGGCAGGTTGCCCTACACCTCCAAACCTTTCAGAACGTCTGTGAACCTGAGCCCTGTACCTGGGGGTTGTAAGTTGAGCGCACTCACATGTAATGGTACTCTGGAGAGTGCTGTCATGTTCAAAAGCAATGACGGTCACTTCATAGGGTGGCGGGGCCCCGTCTTCCCCGTTTTCCGGGTGGCTCAGACAGCAGCGGAAGCATACCGACGTCAGGCCACAGAGGAGCAGCAGAGCACCAACTACTACCAGCAACCTGCAAGAGCCCACCCAACAAGCAAGAGCTTTGGCCAACTGGTTTCCTGTCTCTGACACGACTAGCCCTCACCCTCTAATCATAATCGTTGTGCATCCTTTAGAGAACACTAACAAAACTTCAACTCACAGGGTTTCGCTTTGCATGTATCAGTCATTGCTTTTCCAGCAATACTCTGTCAGTCATGAGAGCAAACAACAATGAAGATAATTTGAAGGAGCTGCTGCTTACCCCACTGTGCAGAAGTATTTCTTAAGCACATGCTGGGAGAAAGGCACCATTATCTTTTGATGCTGGCTGAAAAGACTGTATTGAAATAGGAAACTATGCAGTATTGGCACATAGGTTAGGGATAAACTAAAGAAACATTACAGCTGTTATTTTTATTCATTCTAACAGCCAGTGTATACAAAACTTTGAAGAACAATCTGTGTTTAAAATGAAGTCTCTTTGAGGGTGTTCTATAACTCAAACTTACCATATGTACCAGAGATGCACCCAGTCAGTGGTCAGGCAACTGGAGAAAGAATGAAGTTCATTATATCAAAAATCAATAGTGTGAGCTGTAGCAATCATGCTGTTATATTTAACACTATGTTATAATTAAAAATATCAAGACCTCCTTTTTTTTTTTTTTTTTTTTTTTTTTTTTTTTTTTTTTTTTTTTTTTAGAAGGGTCTTACTTTGTAGCCTTGGCTGGCCTGGAACTTATGATGTAGACCAGGATGACCTTGAACTCACAGAGATCTACCTGCCTCTGCCTCCCCAAGTGCTGGAATTAAAGGCATGTACTATTTTGCCCAGCTAAAACTTACTTTTTAAAAATCCCAATGTAACAAGCTGAATAGAGTTTTATAAGACAGGTGACATTTCTGTGTAAAGCATTTGAATAACCAAAAAAATAATAATTGCAGTAAAAGGAGTGGCCCTAAAAAGATATAAGGGAAGGTGGGCCTGGGAAGGGAGAGGAGGAGAAGAGAAACAAGTGCAATGAATTTTGTTTAAAAAAACATCAGAATGAAACATAATTCTTTCCAAGCTGATAAATAAAGAAAAGGAAAAGAAAATGTCCCCATGACTATTGGGAGCTGCTGAGAAGCAGATCATTAAGAATTAGGCACACAAATGTGTAAGGAGTGGCTTTGAAAACAGACGTGAACATCAAACTGGTACGTCTTTAAAGACACATGTGTTTCTCCTCTCCTTTTTGTCTCTCCCACACAGTCCTCCTTGTGAGGCTGTCCTCTCCTTTCCCTCCCTTCCTGTTTGGTCTCATGTGAGGTCAATAAAATGTACACATCAGGAAAATTTCAGTTAAAGACATGAAAGAAGTTATATTTGTAATTTACATTTCACAAGTTCTTGCAACATCCTCCCCCTAAGAAGGGCCTACACTTTCACATCTGATCTCAGAACTGCTGGGCATGTCACTGAGACCAAACAGGAAGGGAGAAAATCGAGAGGCCAGCCTTACAAGGAGGACTGTGTGGCAGAGACTAAAACCGCAGTCAGAGGTGGAGAGAGGAAATGTATGTATCTTTAAAGATGTACCAGTTTTTTTTTCATTAAAATAATAGATATTATTAATAACACTAATTATTGATATCAATAAAAACTTTAAAATATTTATTTATTATTTATTTATTAAAATGTATTCACTTTGTATCCCTGCTGTAGCCCCCTCCCTCACCTCATCCCAGTCCCACCCCCTCCCTTTTTACCCCCTATGCCCCTCTGTCCACTGAAAGAGGAGATCCTCCTCCCCTTCTATCTGACCCTAGCCTATCAGGTCTCATTAGGACTAGCTGCATCCTCTTCTTCTGTGGTCTGGCAAGGCTTCATCCTCCAGGGGGAGGTGATCAAAGAGCTGGCCACTGAGTTCATGTGAGAAACAGCTTCTGTTCCTCTTACTAGGGAACCTACTTTGAGACTGAGCAGCCTATGGGCTATGTCTGATTAGAGGGTCTAGTTGCTCTCCAATGAAAATGAGTGTGGACATCTCTTTTTCAAACAGGAGGCCTGCGCCAGGATAGGCTCCTGGGAGGATATGGGTGAGGCTGCTAACAGAGGGGAACATGAAGACTGAAGTGACCACCTCCTTACCAGGCAGGACTAGTTGAAGGAGGGGAACAACAACCCAGGAACAAAACCTTTGATCCAAAAATTACCCTGCCGACAAAAAGTGCAGGGATAAGGAGGGAACAAAGATAGAGGGAGTGTTCAACCAATAACTGGCCCAACCTGAGACCCACTCCACTATAGAGAGCCAGCCCCTGACACTGTTAATGATGCTCTGCTTGTAGACAGGAGCCTAACTTGACTGTAGTCCGGGAGGCTCCAGCCAGCAGCAGACTAAGACAGATGTCGAGACTAGCAGCCAAGCATGGGGTTGAGTTCCAGAGGTCCTGTGGAAGTGTTGGGGGAAAGATGGAAGGATCTGGAGGGGACAGGAACCTCACAAGAAGACCAACCCAGACAACTAACCCAGTACCATGGGGGCTTACATAGACTGAGATATCAACTAAGGAGCATGCACAGTCTGGACCTAGGACCTCTCTGCACACATGTGGCTGATGGGCGACTTGGTCTTCATATGGGTCCCTGGCGAGTGGCGGGGGCCTGTTTCTAACATGGACTCTATTGCCTGCTTTTGGATCCCTCCTGCCTGGCAGGGCTGCCTTGCCTGGCCTCAGGGGATGAAGATATGCTCAGATCTGATGTGACTTCATGTGCTGGGAAAGGCTGAGATGGGAGGAGTGAGGCTTCCCTTCGGGGAGGGAGGGGAAGGGAGAAGGGAAGGGGAAGAAATTGAAAGGAAAGGAGGAAGGTGGCACCCTTGGGATCTAAAGTAAATAAACATAAATAAATAAATAAATTTAAAAAAATTCAAAATAAAATAAAATCAACACTTTCTACCAAGTGTGTATTCAGACCAATTCCTGCATTCTGTCTTCAGTCACACTTTTATAGAAAATATAGTTTGTATTTTCCCTGGAACACTGTAGTATCTTGTCCAAAGCCTTTCATTTCCACATTACCTTCCAAAAGGTGACAGACATCTAAATCCTCAATGCTGCCTAGCCAGTATCAAATATACACAGGCCAAGTAATTAAGGTGATCCCAACTCCTTAATTCTCCTCACATCTGGCAGAGTTGGTTTCAGAGAAATGGTTCTATGTTTTACCACAGAATCATTTCCTTTGGCACGAACTGGGTTGTTATTGTCTGTCCTTACTTGAAACCAACAAGTGCTTTTGGATTTGAAATGGGCATACTGCTATGGGAATCACCCAAATGACTGACTTGTTGAACTCAGTCTGTCCTGATGAGTCACTGGAAAGCACAGCTGAGGAAGCCTTTTGCAGGTCTGACTACGTGTGTTTAAATAAACTGTGCTGCGTTGATGGGAAGATGGGCTTGCAAAAAAACTAAAAAAAAAGTGCTATCAGAAGGGTCATTCTGAGCGTACAGGATGATACACAGGTCTGTGATAGGAGGTGGTGTCCGTTTAAATAGAAAAGGAAGTCGGGGCTGTCTGCTGACATTTTAGCCTATGTTTGGGTGTTGGTGCTTGGTCTGGCTCTCTTTCCTCTTGGCTTGAACTCTCAGCTACTTACTGTTCAGTGTTGGCACAGTTCTCCTCGCATCTGGCCCCGGGAAGCTGTGGGAAGGAAACAGTCTCAGACATGGCAAGGGTCACAGCTGCAGTGTTCAGCAGCCTACCAGCTGGCCCTCACGACGGCTGTGCTCTGACAGAGCTACTTGGAAAGATGAGGACAGGGCCCTGGGGTTGGTCTGTACTGGCCCATGACACTGATCAATTCTTTGAGTGATGACTACGTCTCATGAGGCAGAAGCTCCTGGAAGGGCAGCGATCGTATACATGGTCGGGGTAGTGGCTGAGCAACACTACCTCGCAGAATGATAGACAGCTCTCAGTATCAGTTTGTCACCCTAGCAATCTCCTGACTCAACCCCTCGGACATTGTAGTTGTCTGTCTTCCTTGTCCTTACACAGATGAAACAGCCCCTATGCTGTTTGTTTGGGTTTTTTTTTTTTTTTTCAGCCTTCAGTATCTGAGTAATTCACCACAAAAGAAAAGCAATAGAGGGACAAGTTGTTACAAAGAAAGAAGGGGGGGGGGAAGAGAAGGAAAAGAGAACATGTAAGAAAAATGTACAGTCGGGCATGGTGGTGCACACCTGTAATCCTAGCACTCCGGGGGGCAGAAGTAGGGGGATCACTGTGCGTTCGAGGCCAGCCTGGTCTATTAAGTGAGTCCAAGACAGTCAAGGTGACACAGAGAAACCCTGACTTAAAAACAAACAAACAAACAAACAAACAAAAAACAAAACAAAAGAAAAAGAAAGGAAAGGGAAAATGTACTTTGAGATACTGGTTAACTTGTATGGGAAGCAAAATAGATAGCCTGCTCCCAGCACAGGGAAGGGTACAGTCTGGTTCTGCAGTTTCTTTCACTGCTAGACCTCCTAGCTATGTGAGCTTGGCCCTAGTATTTTTTTTAGAATTTCTCAGTCTACTGACTCTTTTCTCAGAGAACGGATGACTCACAGGCTTCTCTTTCACAGAGGGGTACAATAAAGTGTTTAAAATGTTAGCGTCCTTTGGTGCTAGAGATACGGCTCACTGGGTAAATACCAGAACCCTTGTTAAAGCTGGTTGTAACAGCATGCATCATCTCTGATTTTATTTCTGTCCCGCTTTCTACGGGCGTCATTCAGTCTCTCTCTCTGTCTCTGTCTCTCTCTTTCTCACACACACACACACAACAATAACAACAACAACAACAGTAACAACAAACCAAACTCCCTTGTACTAAGAGAACAGTGTGCTATTCTTTCCTTACCACCGCCTAGGTTCTCCATCTGTTTCTTACTGCATCTATTTCCTCCCAGAGTCAGTCTAGCCAAAGAAATAAGCAAAAGGAAAATTCTCCCCGCTTTTTCACAACTGAACTCACCTGGATGAAATAAACCAGGACAGAAGCCATCGCCACTTGGGTCCGGGCGGCCATGAGGTCCAGAGGGTCACGCCGGGTGCGTGTGCTGTGTGCTTTCCATGCTCCGTGCCACGTGGAGTGCCGTGGTCCAGAATTCCTAAAGAGAAATTTTTTCCTCAGCAATAAATCAATTTCCCTCTTCCCTTATTCCCTTCGTCATTATCCTTTAGGGTTTCTGTCTCCCCTTCCCTCTTAGTTTCCTTCTCTTTCTCTATGTCTCGTCACATGGTCTCCACATTTGCTCCCTCTTTCTTTCTTTTCTGCTATCAAACTTCCCCTATGTATTTGATCTTTCTTTCTTCTGCCCCTAACAGAAAGGCAATTCAAGAACACACTTGTCCTCTGAGTTAGATTTTTTTTCTCCCCCAGTCTATAATGACAGACTTGGATTTGAAATAGGTCAAAAGCAGATTGCAAGTGCCAGGTATGTTCTTGTGTTCATCAGGAAACTGGTTACACTCTTGGCTCCTGAATGACCACTCAAGTCTGAAAGTCACTCTGCCAATGGCCCTTTACCTCCTCTCCACGTGACTGGCCTCCTTCGTCTTGTTCCTCGAAGCCCTCCCCTCACTATGTTGATAATCAACCCTGCTAGTTCTGGGTCATTTATTGCTGCTCAGTCCTCAGCAGGACTGAGGGATTTCAAATGAGGAACACAGCCATCCCATCTTTAGAGTAGGAAGTGGTTTTGAAAACTAGAAGTTCCAGGTGCTATCAATGGCCTCAGCCTCTGCTGTACTTCAATTTCGGTTAGACATCAGGCAGAGCCTTAATTTAAAAACTGATTTCCAAGATAACCCCTCTGTTTCTCTGCCTGTCTCTCGGTCCCCGCCGCTCTCGAAGCGCCATCGTGATGTTGCCACCTGAGAACCAGGCACAGGGTGTACAGCTGTGGTTCCATCTACTCAGGACGCTGAGGCAGGAGGATCATTGGGGTCTGGTTCATCCAAGTGAGAATACCCAAGGAAACAGCATTCCGCCATCTCAAAATATATTATCAACAATGAAACAGAGCCACCTTTAAAAACAAGCACACCGCTTGGAAAGGACAGAAGATGGTTACAAAGAAAAATGTTGTATGTAACCAATGACCACCATAAAAATGACTGACATTAAGCAGGATTCTTTTATCCAGTGCAGAGGACTGAGTAAGATCATCCAGTGTTAGTTTACAGTGGCATGTTCATTTCACGAGACTGAGCAAACTGACACTTGAGCTACTTTCTAATTGATGAGGCGAGGCTGTGGGTAGGCTCCTGATGAGAGGAGGTTGCAGGGTGGGGTCCCGATGAGAGGAGGCTCCATCACACTCAAGGTCCCGCACACCTAGTGATGGCACTGTGACAATACCATGTGGAAATGATGAATACGAACAATTTCCCAGTATGTGAACTCCCAGGTACAACGCTGCTCTTTCCAGATCTATTTCTTTTTGTAACATAGGCTCTTGAATAAAGAGCATTTTTCAGATTCCAATGGAGAACTCGGTGAGAGGGGAGGTATTTTGTAGGACTATCGAGCAGGACTTCAGTTATAGCTTCTCGCTAGGCCTGGGCCTTACTGCTTCTTACTCATTCAGTAGGAGTATAATAAATGACCACTGAACTTGCATCAGCTGTTGTTTCAGAAAGAAGGGAAAACTGAGGACAAGGAGGCATCTGGTATGGCCTATTTCTATCCAAACACCATGCACTGGAAAACCCCATGGGCCCCTCCCTTTTCCTTTTCCTGTGGGAAAGGCCGTAAACCACCGTTACCAAGAACATAGCTCAGGGGCTTTGGGCAATTGCTTGTTTGACCTCCTGTTAGCTGAGGGATCTTGGACTCTCTGTCAACTTAATTAATTTGATATAAAAAGCAGTTAGTTCTCAGCACTCACATGGCCCATGAAGTGTTACTCCAGTTCCAGTGGGATCTGACACCCTCCTCTGTCTTCCTCAGACACCAGGCAGATGGGTAGTGAGCCTACACACACAAGGCAAAATACTCAGATAGATAAACAACAACAACAACAAATCTTTGTGATGCCTATTACAGTCCTGATAGCAAGTATTTGATGTTAGTTAAGATACCTTTAATTTAGCTGTAGCTTACATGTGATGGCTCCTTCCAATATGCAGGACCATTAATGCCCACTGTGCGAATTGGGTGTCTTTCTACCAGACCTCTCTAGATTGCACTATACCTCTTTAATATTCTTTTCTCTTGAACAGTTCCCGTGGCTAGCCAGGCCATTACTTTTTTCTACCCACACCAGCCATCACCTGCATGAACAGGTTTCTCAATTACTTTGGCTTCCCCCCATGGCAGTTTCTGGCCACATGATTGCAATCATCTTTCTTGCCCCCAAGCTTCTTAACAGGCCTGAGCAAAACAGGCTTCTGTTAATGACTGCCTTGCTGTTTTTCTTTCTCAGATGTACTGCTACCATTTCTTTTCTATTCTCTAAGAAGATAAGACTTCATTTATTTTTTTTTCTTGTGCGTCAATGCCCTGTGATGGTTTCTATCACAGCCTTTAAGTAGAAGAAAGATCATTCACAGAAGAAAGCTGAAGCTCTTCACGGCCTAAGGACAGAGGGGAGCTGGTGAAGTTGGGAATATTCTCATTACCAGCCTACATAACCCCATCCCATTAAGCTTGTGAATCATTAGCTTATACTCATGTTGTGAAGGACTAGGAGCAGGGCCAGTGGGAGGTTCACATACACTAACCTCTTCACCTGTGCTTCAGGGAATTGTTATACAACCGCTCTAACAAGTGTAGCCAAAATGAAAAATAAAAATAAATACGAACTTGTGGTTCCTTTGATTATTTTCCTTTTGACCTTGGCTGTCAGGTAGCATCCCTGCTCTCCTTCCTTTCTATACCTCAGTGAAATAGAAACCAGGAATATTGGTACTTTGAGTCACCAACATCAAGTTGTACATGGCTGAGTGGTGGGTTGGGCCAAGGACCATGGCTTCAAGAATGGAGAAGGCAGCAGAAGTCGATTTCATTCTAAAACACCTGGGTGTTTCACTAGGAAGTTTCTCTTTTTTCTGTTTGTTTTTGTTTTTGGCTTTTTTGAGACAGGGTTTCTCTGTGTAGCCTTGGCTGAGGTGGACGTGTTTTGTAGATCAGTCTGGCCTCGAACTCACAGAGATTCACCTGCCTCCGCCTCCCCTAGTTTTGGGATTCCAGGTGTGTGCCACAACACACAACAGAAGTTTCTCTGTCTTAAGAGTCAAGATCATAGCATAGATATTGAATTCCAACCTCAGAGGCACAGAAAATTAGTAACAGGATTAAACAGAAGGTTTTGTTGTTGTTGTTTTCCTTCCTTGAGACAGGGTTTCATGTCTGATCTCAAACTTTGTAGGTAGGTAAGGTGACCTTGACTTCTGATCCTGTCTTACCTTCCCGGTGGTGGGATTACAAACATGTGCCCCCAGTTCCCCTTTGTGCAGTGCTTTTGATCAAACTCAGAGCTTTGTGCTAAACTCATGGAAGTTAAACAACACAGGAGGAAGGATTCAGTTTATCAAAGGATGTATGGTTTATATGCCGTGTAGCTCATTACTACAGATTGTATGAGCAATGGTTTAAGGTAACACAAGTATGTAGAAAGCTTAGCTGGGCCCATTGCTTGGACTTCTACAAGGCTTGGATCAAAACGTCTGTATAGCAACAATCTTGCCTGAAGGCTGTCACGTCACATCAGAGAACCCACTTGCAAGTTCTCGTAGGCAGAATGCATTTCTCAGTGGCTGTGCAATTAGTATAATCATGCTTCTAAGATATAATTACATAATTTCTCTCTTTCCTTTCCTCCCTCCAACCCTTCTCATGTACTCACTCCCACTCTCTCTCAAATTCTTGACCTCTCTCTTTGTTACATATCTATATTATATATATATATATATATGTATATATACACACATATATAATAACACACACAGTTGTATGTGAATGGCACACACACACTACTGCTCAGTCCATTTACTGTTACTTGTAAGTGCATGATATCAGGACTGACCACCTGGTGTTGGATAACTGATAGTGGCTCATTGCTGGAGCAGATTATTTCTCCCTCTCTTGCCATTAGCATCATTCATGGTGCCTCAAATGTACAGTGCCTACACCAGGCCTGAACAAAGACAACCCCAATAGACATGCTAGCATACAAATGGGAAGTCTCACAAGACCCCACTCTTAGACAAAGAACTACAGGCAACTAAGGAATGCTTCTTTAAATAATTTTTATGCTTTATTATGATTATTATTATTTATAATTTATTCACTTTGTATCCTGGTTATAGCCCCCTCTCTCATCTCCTCCCTGTACCACCCTCCTTCTCTCTTCCTCCTCTATCCCTCCTCCCTAGTCCACTGATAGAGGAAGTCTTCCTTCCCTACTGTCTGACCATAGGAGCCACACACAGAGACCAACAAATTAAAAAACAGGGCCCAGAGGCACTGCAGAGACTGATGCATCAACTGAAAACTTTACATAGAGAGGATCTACACCCCCTGCTCAGATGTAGCCCATAGACAGCTCAGTCTCTGTGTGGGTTCCCTAGAAAGAGGAGAAGAGACAGTCTCTGACATGAACTCGGTTGCAGGGTCTTTGATCACTTCTTCCTGGTGGGACTACCTAGCCAGACCACGGAAGAGGATCCAAGCAGTCCTGATGGGACCTGATAGGCTTCTTTAAATCTTAATGATGAGGAGGACAGAGACAGACACAGGAAGAGAGAAGCTTCAGTATATTACTCATGTGCCTGAAGTAATTCCTTGTATATGATCACATGCATTCTGTAACCTTTGTTACATTTTATAGTTCCGAGAACACATGCTCAAAGACAAGCAATTCCACTGAGGCATGACAATAGGAGTTAGGGGTCATGGAACATCCTGAATTCTTTTAAGTCTTTCCAGGTTCCTGGAAACATTTCTGTGGATATGCAAGAGAAAAGTCCAGATGTGGTGGTATAGTGTCACCTTTAATCCTAGAACTTGCGAGGCAGAGACAGGAAGA